GTCTGTGCAATCGTCATCGATAGCCACGGGAGGGCAGATGATTCATAGCTTTTCATATAGCTTTTCGTGGCTSGAATGATGCTAATTCGGCTTCTCAGCGCAATTCCTTTAATATCTTTCGATGATTTCAAGACCGAAGTCAGTTTAGTTCAATGCACGAGCGTTATATTTTTCAGGTTGAATCTATMGATCCAGGCGGTCGGGAGTCGAGAATATCTAGAAAGTTCTTGACGAGTTCTAGAACTGTATAAAAAAGATGAAGGGGGCTTCACAACGACGCCGATACATGATAATTGGTGCTATTTGCTTCGTATAGAAATAAGACATTTGGAACACTAATAAAAATGGGTAAGTTAAGTGATGTGAAGTTTTGTTTTGTTGGGACTTGCTTTTAGCCTGCGTGCAGCCGAACCAAAACTTGTTGTTATGTTCTCGGCTGCACGCAGGCTACTTGCTTTTGGAGTTCTCAGAAAATGGAATAAATTACTTATTAAAATTATTATAGTTACGTTACGTTACGTATTATTAACTAGGAAAGGTCAAGACCTTATTTAATATTATAGAAGGTATCCATAGGTAAATATATTTTAGCATATTTCTAACTGCATTTCTCTTATTCATCCTTCTGGGATTTAGTGAGTTTTTCATTAATTTAATCTCTCGTAATATCTGAAAAATAATAAAATAATGCTATATAAAACTTCAATATTAATACTTAAAGCATTATTAAAAAAAGATAAGATTATGGATAAAAGAAAAAAGGTGGGTTTTGTATAGGTGGCAAAGTATGAAGTTATATAAAACACTTTTCAAATTATTATGAAATTAATTGGTTCAGATATTTTTTTAAAGATTATATATTCATTAGTTAATGCCTTATATGAGGAGGCTGGAAGAAAGTTAGGGGGAGGGGCTTTGAGTAAAATAAAAAACAAAAAATGGGGAGGGGTAAATATTGATTCTAGTGAAGTCTGACAGCTTCTCAAATTCATGTGTGAGATAGGAAAGACATTGATTGACAACAGAGAGGTAAAGTTCCATTTTCAATTATAAAATTCAAACTTGGAAATTATTGAAGGCATCAATGTTAGTGTAATTACAAGTACTGTACTGTTATCTCGGTCAAGCATACTTCTATAGTGTTTAATCACATGAGCCTTTTAAATAGTAGGTGTTTCTAAATGAAAGGTAATTGCAATTGTATAGACATGTACAAACTAAATTAGTAGCTCAGCATAAACAAACAGCAACCATACAGGAAGGGCTGTTTTTTAGCCAATCACAAAGTTATATTAACTCTTTAAATAGGGAGTAYCTGAGTTATGGCCTTGAAAAGACAATTGACATTAGTCAGACCCCCTTATAAGTTGTTGAAAGCCGAATTGAAATTAATAAAGAACAATATTTAATACAAATTATCATTATTAAGGAATTTTTTACATGCCATAATTATAAGCTCAGGTTATAGGGAACATTTGCATTTGAAAACAAATTCTGTTCAATTTCAATATTGACAAATATTTAATTATGGGTGTGATTTTTGCATATTACTCGAAATTGAACAGATGAATTTCTTTCCAACTATTCCAAAACATTGCATATATTGTGACATAGTTTGAAGTTAATGATGATGTCTACTGCTTTTCTGGATCTCATCATTTTTTTGAGATAAATGGAAAAAACGAATTTCAACAAAATGCGATTTCTGTTGCCTA